GAGAGAGAGAGAGAGAGAGAGAGAGAGAGAGAGAGAGAGAGCTTTCTACAGTACACATGTAGTTAGACTAACCAAAAATAATGAGAATAAAACAAACACGATTTGTGGGAAGAAAACTATTCTAGGATTCTGAAAACGCTTTTTTTTTCTTCAGGAAAACCTAAAGACTGCCGTAATCCAGGACTGGGTCACATGTACTTGATTTCTTCTTCCTCAGAGCTTTTCTCTGTCCTTTTTACAGCTTTCGCTCGTTTGGAGAGAAAGAAATCCCCCGCAGCGCTGTATCTCGTATTTTACCGTCAAAGAAGAAAAGATAATATCGTCCTATCCAGATAATACATTGTAGTACACGACACAGTGGGCACGGCGTCGGCTTTTTTTTTTTTTGGTAAGTGTTTTTACAGCGCTCGCAACTGCTTGTTTGTTTTGTTTTTTGTTTGTTTTTGTTAAGTGTTTTATGGCGCTCGCAACTGCATAAGGTCATATGAGCGCGCGGGACTCACCTAATACCTTTAGTTGATAGGAAATTTTGAATTGTGCCCGGGTGGCGGCCGAAGCCTACTCTTATCGATTTTAGACCACCAAGTGATCTTTAACGTGCGCAACTTGCACACGGGCCCTCCGAGATTTTTCGACCTTGTCCGAGAAGGCTAGGTGTAGATCTTTCCTACCAGAAGATCAGGGGTGTGTCAGAAAGACAGCTGTAAGAAGGAGTCAAGGAGTAGCAGTAGAAAGGCTGCAGAAAGCGTCAGGAGCCCAGAGGAGGGGGCAAAGGAGGTGAGGGGTGGGGGCAGAAAATGGAGACGAAAGCAGAAGATAGAACATTGCTAGAGAGCAGGAAACGAGGTGAAAGGAGACACTTTTAGAGAATAAAATTTTTCGGTCGCTACCCGGATTCGAACACGGAACCTTTGAATGAGAGGCCAACACTTTAACCTCTAGGCCACGAGAGCTCCACTCGGCGTCGGCTCTGTTGATATTCTGTTGGGAAATGGAGAGGGTTAACCATCAAGGTTTATCACAGAATCGGCAACTGACAAAGAAAGAAAACAAAAGGATTAAAATACATTTCTTCCTTATTCAACAGGAAAATGAGCTGTGTGTTTTTGTTTTTGTTTGAGATTTGAAGGCAAAGGGTTCTGGGAGGGGAAAGCCAGTTTCTGTTAGTGAGGCAGCGTGGTGGAATCAGGCTCTCGTCAATTTTTGGGCATGTAGAGTTATTGGTATCATCTTAGAGCTTATACACTTGTCTTTATTTGGATGAAAAAAATATTCATTTATCTTGAATACAAGTCGAGATATTTACGAAAGAAAGAAGAGGGGGTCACCTGTTTTGAGAGGTAAAATTAGTGAGAAAATGTCCGCCAAAGATTAGTTATTTCCTTAGCTTAAGAGTTTGTGGTAACTGAAAACGTACACTTTTGTGCCTTTAATCAACGCTTTTCAGAAAAATCCACCCAGAAATGGGTTCTTTAATGGGCATGTAAGGTGCTGAGTCAAAAACCAAAAATTTAGTAAAAATTCACAAACCTGCGGAAAAATGCAAGTTTCTTCACTTTAATTATTTTGACGAGAGCCTGATTCCACCACGCTGCCTCACATTAAGTTCTTGCTTTGTAGTCCACCACGCTGCCTCACATGAAGTTCTTACTTTGTCCACCACTGTCCCACGGACGCCTCGACAATGATTCCCTCTTCGGCTGGCTTATTTACTTGAAATTGTATTTTGAGTCACCCGTGGGACATACAGTGTTGTAGTCTGTTAGGTAGGGACTGCGATTTTATTCACATATTCTTTCTGTTCCAGTTGTGAAGTGCCCATTTCCAGCTGGGTGAACCGAGGAAACACACTATGTATAGAGTCGAAACTGTCTAAGACGGCTATCATTGTCCAGGAGACAAATGGCTAGTTTCTATCTAAGGGTGCTCACAGAGAGGCCACCGAATATGGTCGCTTTTAAGGACAAGCGGGCTAACCCAGATTTTGGAGGTTTCAAGAAGTCTTTACCTACACCAAAAGTTGGCATTGCCCTACCTATAGGAGAAGTTTGGTTTCATTGGTGTGTATATTTGTTTGGTTATAGATCTAGAGAAAATTCTCCTTGTCTTTTATAGAAACTGAACAAGGGGCAAAAACTTTACCTTCGATTTTCTCAAAACAGCATTTTTCAGGATAGCCCCCTTGTTCTTAGAAGCGAGCAAATGTCTCAGTGACAAACTCTGCACTCTGCACTCTGCACTCTGCACTCTGCACTCTGCACTCTGCACTCTGCACTCTGCGCCGATCTTTACGATGGTGGAACATGAAGGCCACACATTGTCAGCGCGTGCAGGATGTCCTGCTGAACGTGATCTAAATTTGACAAGTTATAATGGTTATAAAATATTCTGTGTACAACTGTGCTTCTTGAATGTCAAATGAAACAGTCATCACACACACACACACACACACACACACACACACACACACACACACACACACATACACACATACACACACAGACACACAC